TTTTTTACATTTGTAAATAATGATGAATTACATTATTGATTTTCAAATAGTAAGCCACATTCTTGCATTTCTGGCATAAGCCCTACTTGGTCATGATGAATTATCCTTTTTAGATATATTATATTCAATTTGCTAAAATTTCTTAAATAATTTTTACATCTATGTTCACAAGGGACATTGACTGATATTTTTCTTTTCTCATAATGTCTTTGTCCTATTTTGGTATCAGGATAATGTTAGTCTCATAAAATATTTTGGGAAATATTTGCCACTCTTCAATTTTCTGGAAGAGTCTATGTAGAATTGGTATTAGTTTTCTTTAAATATTTGGTAGAATTCACCAATTTAGCTATGTGGGCCTAAAGTTTTCTTATGGGAAGATTTTTTTTAAACTATCAGTTCAAATTCTTTAATAGAGATAGGGTTATTTATGTTATCTGTTTCTCCTTGAGTGAGCTTTGTTTGATATTTAGTGTTTTTCAAGGAATTTTCATATCTCATCTAAATTGTCAAATTAGTTGGCATAAAGTTATTCATAATATTCTCTTCTTAGCTTTTTAATATCTGTAGAACCTGTAATGGTGGCACTTCTTATATTCCTGATATCATAATTTGTGTCTTCTGTCTTTACTGAGCTTCTTAAAGAACCAGCTTTTGGTTTTGTTGATTTCTCTGTTTTCTATTTCAATTATTTATTCTCCAATCTTATTTCTTTTCTTTGCTTTACTTTGGGTTTAATTTGCACTGCTTTTTCTAGTTTCTTAAAGTAGAATCTGAGGTTATTAATTTGAGACCTTTCTTTTTTCCTAATATATATAATTAAATATATATGAATATAAATTTTTCTTGAGTACTGCTTTAGCAGTATCCATTTGATATATGGTCATATATCATATATGTGATATATGTGATATCATGTATATGATAATATATCAAATTTGATATATGATATATACAATTATTTTCATTTAATTTCCCCTTTCACTTTTTACTTTGACCCATGAATTACTTAGAAATATGTTATTTTATTTCCAAATATTTGAAATTTTCCACATTATTGGTTTCTAATGTAACTCCATTGTGGTCACAGTACATACTTTGTACAAACTGAATCCTTTTAAATTTATTAAGCCTTATTTTATGATCCAGAATATGGACTATCTTGGTAAATATATTCCATGTGTACTTTGAAAGAAAGTATATTCAGCTGTTGTTGGGTGGAGTATTCTATAAATGTCAATTAAGTCAAGATGATTGATAGTGTTATTCAGATCTTCTCTATCCTCACTGATATCTGTCTATTTGTTTTTATTAATTATTAAGAGAGGGTTATTGAAATCTTTGAGTATGATTATGGCTTTGACTACTTTTCCTTTCAGTTTTATCAGTTTTGGCTTTATGTATTTTGAAGCTCTGTTATTAGGTACATAAATGTTTAGGATTATTGTACCCTATTGCTGAGTTGACTTCTTTGACATCATGAATTGACTTTCTTTATTCCCATTAATATTCTTTGTTCTTTACTCCTACTTTGCCTGATATTAAGATGCAACATTCTCTTAACTAATATTAATGTGGGGTATATCTTTTTCCAGTGTTTTGCTTTTAACCTCTTTGTGTCTTTATATTTAAAGTACGTTTCTTGCAGGCAGTTGGGTTTACCTCAACATAGGTATTTTGCCAGACTCTGCCTGGGTCTCCCCTCCCTATGCCATGACCTAAAAACTCTTTAGGCAATAAGGTGGGGCAAACATGGGGCTCATTTTGTTTGTTTCCTATCTCTCAGGAACAGGGTTTAAACTAGTGTGAGCGAGTTTACCCCTATGGTGAAAAATTTAAGACAGTAATCACTATCAGATGTACAACTTAGAGAATGAATGGCTTCTTAGATTTTATACCCTAGGCAGCTTACTCTTAGGAAGGCACTCATTCTCAGGATTGTGCAAATGCTGGATTAGCACCTGAGAGTGAATGTTTCCTTTAATTTTGCACCTTAAGGTCCTCATTTAGCTCACCATAGTGCTGACCCTGCTTAAGGATCACTGTCCTTCATTGCCTGATGTCTAGTTTCTTGAAAACCATTTTTAAAAATATATTATGCCTGGATTGTTGGTTATTTCTAACCAACAAGGAGGGTCAATTCAGTCCCTGTTACTCCATCTTTTATGGAAATGGAAGTCTGGATATACTTGTTATGAGATAAAAATCACACATATAGAGCTACCTGAGTGAAATGCAAATGTTTGCAGGCTTCCCTGTGAAGAGTTCAGCAAAAGATTAGTCTTTCTTCATTTAACAATAAATGAGCACCTACTATATACCATTTTCTAGGCTAGAAACTGGGGTTAAAATCAAATAAGACCTCAAATGGTACCTGTCTACCATAGCTGGCTTTAGAACTATTAGATTGGCGCTTTTATACCATGTATCACCTGTGACCAGGTGGGCAGAAATAAGCAGAAGGTGGTCTAGGGAACGTGGAAAGCCAATGAAAGTCAGATCAGAAACTGAGAGATCATCTCCACTAGTTCCCAGGCCCAGCATGGCTCAAGGACTCACTTAAGCTCACACAGCTAGCAGTAGTACTTGATTGCTATGTAGTCTATTTAGGACTCAATCCAAAACACCTTCCCTGCATTGTCAGTCACCATTATTGAAATCCCACCATCAGAGACCCATCCACTAATGGCAGGGGCCATGTCCTATTTATGTTTATGGTTCTCAGTGTTAGTTCAGAGCCTGCTGCATTGATAATCAGTAGATGGAAACGAATATGTGAATGAAGTACAGATGTGCCTACTAAAATGATGAATATGCCTCTCAGAGGTGACTTAGATTATTACCAGCTGGGGATGAGTAACTTGAGAGCAAGCCCACAACTGGGAATCATGATAGGAAGGCAATGTGGTGTAGTAGAAGAGGTCTCTAACTGTGCTGGACCTTGATCCAAGTCACTTAACCTCTCCAAAACTCAGTTTCCTCATCTGTATCTTGGGAATCCTAATCATACTTAACCTTTTAGGAGAGTATCAGGTTCCAAGAGGATGAAGCATGCTAGGGGGTCTGGCAATAGAACATTCTCAAGGAATGACAGGTTTTCTGGGAGCAGCAGGTGGGAGTGGGGGGGGCCTACCAGGGGCATAGACCTTGCAGACAGAGTCCTGGCACGGTACCAGGAAGACAGCAGGCTGCTCTGCTCCTGTGGTGTATTTCAGAGTTCACGATACCACCGCCCTTATCCGCAAGCCCTTCCAGTCGCACTGCGTGTGGGTGTCCTAGGCGGTGCACGTAAAGCCGCACAGGTGCAGCCCTGCCCCTCAGGACTTGCATGCAAGGCAGCTCCCTCTGGGGAAGACAGAATAAAACTGTTGAACCTGCACAGGATTAGCAGTGGCCAGTTCACACCACACAGGGATGACGAGAAAGAGCATTTCCCAAGTGCCGACCGATAGAGGAGTCAGAGTGGGAATTTCACGTGCAGCCTCATAGAGTGAGGGGGGCAGTCTGCTCTGTTTCGCCAAGGCTCTGTTACAGGGAGTTCATTCCTGAGGACGGCAGGCCTTCCGCTCTGGCCTACAGCTCTTGACAAATTCAGCAGGTGGAAGATGTGGGCTGAGATCAACAGGGTTTAGATTGCTCTGGATGTGGTATAGCTGAGCCAGAGAGGCCCAGAGCTCGGTAATCAGGGAAACCTGCCTGGTGGAACAGTGACTTTTCCACCTTTTTTACTCACATAGGTGCAAGAGATATGGTCCAGGCTATCACGTCCTCTAGCCCCCTACCAGATACACTGCAGTGCATATCTATATTTTTAAATTCAAGTGTTATCATGTATTTAAACTATAGACCTATTCTACTTCCAGAAAGTCTTCAGATGGAAAAGTTAAAAGATATTTTTATTTCTTTTTATCACATTAACCCAATTTTTCATTAATAACATTTTATGGTTGGGGATTTCACAGACTCACAGACTGTCAGAGCTAGAAGGGACCTTGAAGACAAATGGGTCCATTCTTCTCCTTGCACAGATGAGGAAACTGAGTCCCACACAGGTACTGACTTGTTCAAGGTCATGTAAGTAGCAGTGGAGTCTGGACTAGAAGCCAGGTTTCTGGCTTCCTCCAGCCTTCTTCCGCATCATGTTGCAAGACACCCTCTGAAAACACGCCGGGATAGGCTTTAAGTAATTGAGATGTGTGATTTGTGATTCGGTTTTGGCTGCCTAAGGTTGTCACCAAGCCAGGCCTGGCAAATCCTCTATAACATGAAGCTCCTCGGGGATGGGGTGCACTTTCTCCTACCTGAACTGCAGCACTCACAGCGCGGGCAGAGGTCTTTGGCATGGGGTAAGAGCCCCCCAAGAACTTGTTGGCTGTGCGTGATGCAGGAGAGAGTTCCTCTACCTGAGGGGAGCTCCCATGCTTGGCCATGTTGAGGAGTCGGGCCGGGGTGGGGTTAAGATCAAATACAAGTTATAGAGCTTGCTTTTAAACCTCAGCGTTTGCATTAACTTGCTATGTGATGTCGGGCAAGTCACTCAATGTCTTTGAGCCTCCGTTTGCTCCTTTGTGAAATGGAGATGATTATCTCAGAGGGGTGTGAGCATTACATCAAGGAGAGAGGGGAGGACGTGTGTTGGTGCCTGCCTCGAAGGAAACACTCAAAAATGGCAGCTAGTCTCTCGAGATCTGTTTTGTTGTTTGGTTGTTTAAATTGGGAGAGATTGTTTTCCAGCTTCCCCACTCAACCTCCTTTCAGTCTGGAAATGTCTGTTTTCTTTCCACACTCCTCTCTTCTCCCCTTGATGGGCTGGCTGACCTAGTAGCGACAGTGGTCACAGGTCTCCCGTCGTCCTGAGCTCCTGCTGACTCAGAGGGGGCTGGCAGAGGCGTCGGGACACAGTGGCGCGTGGCTGTGCACTGCACTGCCATCCCCTCGCTCCTCGCCGGCCTCCCTCCCGCCCTCCACGCTCACTGCTCTCTCCCATCTTCCGTGTTCAGGTTCTGCGAAGACTTGAGGAAGCTGAAAATCAGGATGGCTACGCCTGATGGGAGGGGGGTCTCCGGACCCCAGGCCCAGAGACCTGGCCTGGCGCCGCAGGGGGGCAGGGCCTGCCTGGATGCCCTGGACAGCCGGGAGCAGAGGGAGACGCCGGAGCAGGCGCCAGGCCGGCTGGCCGTGCTGCGGAAGGCGCAGGAGTTCTTCCAGACCTGTGATGCAGAGGGCAAGGGCTTCATCGCCAGGAGGGATATGCAGGTAAGAGGGGTCCCAGGAGGGCCTGCGCACCTGGAAGGCCAAGCGACATGGGCCTCTTTGTCTTGGGTTAGGGCTTGCCCCACTGGAGGTGACGTTCTTCACAGAAAAGATGTGGTCAGTTGTGCCCTGGAAGTATGCATCTGACCAAACTCTCCTGGGTTCATTCTACCTGCTGTCAGACTCAGGGTTTGTTTCCCGCTCTGACACAGCAACCCCAGGATTATGGGAAATGGTGATAGTAACATACGGGACTTAAGACAGACACAGAGAAGAACCTTCTGAAACTAAAGGCAGAAAGACAACAACTTGAGTTATAACAAAGTCATTCCTGCTGTGTACGCCTTAGAAATGGCTCCAGTATCAGGTGCAGCTCCGGGAGGAAGACTTTCTGGAGGTCACCTTGCCTCTCAGCCTCAAACCCAGCCACCATAACCCCCAGAAGCAGTCCAGGGAGGGGCGGCGTGCAGAGCCTCAGTGCACACCGTTGCCTCTGCAGGGCTCGGCAACGCTTTGATAAGGTCCAGAGAATAAGCTTTTCAGGCTCTGTGGGCCATACCGTCTCTGTTGTAACTGTTGAACCGCACAACTCTGCTGTAGCACAAAAGCAGCCACAGGCAGTGTGGAAACAAACGAGCCTGTTGTGTTCCAACAAATATTTATGGACGCTGACATTTGAATTGTATATAATTTTTACATGTTGTCAAATATTATTCCTCTTATTCCTCTTATTATTATTATTGGCCTTTTTTTCAACCATGTAAAAATAAAAAAACCTTTCTTAGGTCACTGGCCGCACAAAACCAGGCGGTGGCCAGGGCTCGCCCAGGCAGAGTGTGCCCGGCCTGCTCCGCCGCCTTCCCACTGTCAGCATCGAACGCTCCTCGGTGTCTTACCTGAGTCTCTAGCTGCAGGCAGGGCTTCGCCCAAACGTGGAAGAAAGCACAGGCCCCACTGGAGGACTCTGAGAGCAACGCTTCCCCCCGCCTCTCCTCGCTGGCTCCGCCAGGGCGTGTTTTGTGGGGGTGCGCACCGCGCTGTTGGGGAGACCTACGATGGCCAGGTCCTTTCTTTAAGCCTAGTTTTTAGGATACGCTAAAATTGGGTGGTGAGGAGTAGAGCCCGTTAGTGTCCGCCTTGTCCCTGCTCGCGCACATGAGCTGCGAGGCGTGACCCAGATGAAGCAGGGCCGCGCTCTCCCCCGCCCCGCGGGACGGCGCCTTCCTGCTTCTCCCAGAGCCAGTCGCCGGCCAGCCGTCATTGTACAAACCGAGGAGAAGGAGCTCGGGAATAGCGCAGGCTCAGCCACAAGAGAGCCCGGCCCATTTTCATTTGCAGCAGTGACTGCCCGTCAGTGTCGGTCACTGAAACACGTCCCCAAAGGCGCCTGCCCACGGAGGGCCAGATTCAGTGTGTTTTGAGGAAACCTCTGACAGGCTCCTGTCTGTGGACTTCATAATTGTCACTCGCAGGTCGGTGGTCATCAGTACTGGCCTTCACAGCACGCTTAGCTTTTCATTGTCCCCTCAAGAAAGAAAGAAAAGGGACTCACCGTCCAGCGCAGCCTCTCCCTGGCCGTGTCTCCCGGCTGACGCTCAGTGAACCTGCTCTTCAGTGGAGGCAGGAAGGGCCATGGCGAATTTAAACGGTCGAGGGTAAATTTAAAGAAATCCTTTGTATTTGACTTGGAATGCCATGGGAAACATCGGGTCCCAGAGATTCCTGCTCAGCCTTCCTCCCCAGTCCGCAGTCCCGATGAGGTGGGAGGACCAGGGGTGGGCGAGCCACCAAGCAGAGACTGTGCATCCCAGGTGTTTATTTCTGCCATCTACATAATTTTCTGAAGGTTTTTCTGGGCCTGTGGACAGTCAAGCATTTGAAACTTCCAGTTCTTCAGGCCAAGCAAGTGCTGTCCAGAGAGAAGACAGCTTGTCGTCTAAGCCCCAACTCTCTGGCTACTTTCCCTGGCTGTGTCTGGGGAGATGGGCTGAGAGGAGACGTGTGAATAAGAGAAGCAACCCTCTCATAGCTGCCTCTGGCTCTCTGTGCAAAGCCCTCGTTTCCCTCGGTTCTCCTGGGATGGGTCCTCCAGGTACCTACGCACTGGCGTGTGGCTTGCACACACAGTGGTTGTGCGGATGCAGTCACCCCCTTTGGTTGGTGTCCAGCTCCTTGCACCAGGCCACCTCTGTCTTTTTTACCCTGGGCTCCCAGCACGGCCCCATGGGAACTGACAAGGGGAGAGCTCACGTGCTTCATGTACGCACAGCTCAGCAACCAGGGACATCCTTTACAGCAGAGGGTGGTCCCCAAGGAAGGAGAGGCTGTGGGCCGAGGGGAGGGAGAACACAGAGTTGGAGGAGCCGGTGGAGAAGCAGGGCTGGAAGGAAGTCATGGAGAGCTTGCAGTTGTGCTGAACACGGAGCGGGAGGGGCAAGCTCCTCCCCCAGTGCTCTTTTTCTTCTTTCTTATTAAAAAAGTCCATTTGCGGGCAGTGTGATCGACACTTTGTTTGTGTAGACTGGACACAAACAAGAACAGGAGCAGAAGCAGGAGACTTGGCTCCCATGGTCTGTGCCCACCGGGAAGTAGCCAGCCCACCCAGCTAGAGCAGGGACCACAGAAAGAAGGGACAGCATCCTGGAAGCCGTTTTTAACTGAGGTCCCTGAGAACCCTGGAGAAAGCCGGGAGGAACCGGAAGTGGGCCGCACTGAGCCAGCTCTGTGCTTGGGCTGCACGTGCAGACGGTCTGCTCCAGGGAGGCAGGTGGTGAACACCGCCCGTGGGGTTTAGAAAGCCCTCAGCCTCACCAGCGCCCCTCGGGTCTCACACCGTCCGCCACAAGGAACCTCTCTGGGTGTCGTGGGACCCTCGGGCAGAGTTGGAGTTGGTGTTGCTCTGTAGGGTTGGGTCTGTTGCAGTACCCTAGCTTCCTGTGGGCTGGTCAGTCCTGCCTCAGAGGGAAAGAGGGACCAAAAAGGACCAGGCTGGAGAGGGTACGAAGGGACTCTGTTAGCTGGGAGAGGGAGGTGGGGAGAGGATGGGCAGGAGATGGCTCTGAAAAAACCCAGAGCCTCAAAAATCCTGTTTCCCTGATGTTTTGGAAGAGTAAAATGACTGTCTACCAACACCAACTACCTACCTCCCCAACACTGCCCCAAATTCCTGGCTCAGCCAACCTGTTAAAAATCATTTAGGGCTTGGCAGACTGACCGGCTCTGGCCCAGGACCTGCTCCATAAGAAAAGTGTTACTAGAACAGAGCTGTGCTCGTTCCTCTGCGCGTGCCGGTGGCAGAGCTGAGCAGCTGTGACAGAGAATGAATGGCCACAAAGCCAAAAATACGGACTTCCTGTTCCTTACAGAAAAGGATGGCTCCTGATTTAGGTTAACAAGAAAACTTTTAAAGGCTTTTGTAGTAAATTGACTTGGGTTTTAATCCTGAATCTGCAACTTACTAGTAATGTGCATTTGTGTAAGTCTCTTAACCCCTCTAGGCCATAGTTTCTCAGCTGTGAATTATTAACAGCTACCTTGCAGCATCAGAAGAGAATTAAATGAGCTTAAGCATGCAGAGCCTTAGCTCTGAGGCGGACCTGGGAATCCCTCCATAAACGCCCTGTGTCTGAACCATGTCTTAGCCCAATCCCTGGTATCTTCCGCACGCACTGTGATTTTGTTTAATTGTGTAAAATACACGTAACACAAAATTTACCATCATAACTGCTTTTAAGTGTGCAGTTCAGTGGCATTAAGTACACTCACTATGTTATACAACCATCATTATCCATCTCCAGAGCTCTTCATCTTGCAGAACAGAAACTCTACCCCTGCTGAACAACTCCCCACACCTCTACGCCTTGGCCCCTGGCAGCCACCATTCTACTTTCTGTCTCTACGAATGTGACTACTCTGGGTACCTCATATGAGTGGGTTCAGACAATATTTGTCCTTGTCATTTGTCGTGACTAGCTTGTTTTACTTAGCATAGTGTCCTCACATTTCATCCGTGTTGTAGCATGCATCAGAACTTTTCTTTTTTTAAGGCTGAATAATATTTCATTGTATGTTTAGACCACATTTTGTTTACTTATTCATCTGTTGATAGACACTTGGGGTGGCCCTTGGCTACTTACAAATAATGTTGCTGTGGACTTGAATGTACAAATATCTGTTCAAGTCCCTGCTTTCAATTCTTTTGAGTATATAATACACCCAGAAGTGAAATTACTGGATCATATAATAATTCTATTTCTAATTTTTTTTGAAGAAACACCATACTGTCTTCCACAGTGACTGCACCATCACACTGTGATTTTAAGTGTGAGTCATCTGTCCTGCCTCACAAATAAAGGGCATTGCTGCTGAAAGGGCACCTTTCACTGGTATCCAGCTGCTGCTGTTCTCGTTTGTGTCCAGTCTACATGACTGGCAGCAGTTTTGCCTCCTACAGGACATTTGGCAACGTCTGGGGACAGTTTTGATTGAAATGACTAGAGAGGGAGGTGCTACTGACACCTAATAGGCAAAGGCTAGGAGAGCCGCTAAATACCCTACAGCACACAGGACAGTCCCTCCCCTGCCTCCCCCAACGCCCCCACACAAAGAATTATCCATTTCAAAATGTCAGTAGTGCAGAGACTGAGAAGCCTTGGTCCATACCACACAATTGACCGAGCCAAGCACATCAATACACAAAGCAAGATAAAGGCAGATCCAGCCCTCCCAGACACAGATGCTGCACACGTCCTGAAAATGCTTGTATAGCTGAGCTAAATCACAAGGAAGAGGGTGGCTGGAAGAGGGGTCTGAACAGAATGCTGTAGATTCCTCAAAAGGAGCAGGAGTTCACTTCTGGCCGTGAAGATGGATCTCCTCTGGTTATCTCTTCGGTGAAAGTTTCACTTGAGCGTGTTTGAAGCTGTGCAACCGTATGCTTTAAGCTACATGGTGCATGTTACTGGGGTGGTGACCAGGAAGGTAAAAAAGTCTGGCTGGAGCACAACAAAAGACATTCTTTTTCCATGGCTGCAGGGCCTGGGTCCTCAGCACTGCTGCTGCGGGGTGCCTCCTGTCCCAGGCCCCGGGGGTCCCCAGCCTAGGAGACCTTGCCAAGGTTAGCAGTTGGGCTGGAGTGAGTGAGGTCTAGACCAGCGCTCTGTGATGGCAGTTCAGGATCTCCTGCCATCACCCTTAGTCACGCTTGTATTTATGCTTTATCTACTCGGTTTGTCAGCACTGGGCTAGGTCCGGGGACACAGTAGTGAGCAGTGCATGAAGCTGCTGTCGTCAGAGCGCTGTGGGAGCTGGCGCGTCTATCAGTATTTAACATGCTAACCGAACTAAGACTTACGAAGGAGACAAAGGTAGCTTGGGAGCCTGTACTACCAGACCTGACCGAGGGGGTCACAAAGGCCTTGCCGAGGAAGCGCTGCAGAAGCTGAGAGTGAAGAGGGAATCGGGAGTTGAGGGCGGAGGGGCGGCCGGTGTGCAGAGGAGCTGGAAGAGCTCCTCAGGCCACAGCAGTGGGACTGGGCGAGCTGACTCCTCCCCGTCTCCTCGTTCCCTGCCTGCCCTTCCAGGCACGCGGAAATGCTGAGTGAAAAAGGGTCTCTGGAAGGCTGGCTCTTGGCAGTGCGGGGAAGGGGAAGGGACTTTGTACCTTGTTCTGATGGTGGTGGTGCTTGTGTAGGTGGTGAAGGGAGGGCTACAGAATGGGTGCTGGGAGGCATCAGAGCACCGCTGTAGCCTGGGTGGGTTCCTTTCCCAGCTCCGGCCTCCACTGGGACTCGGCCCCTCTCAGAGCCTCACAGGCCTATTGCACAGTGGAATAAATGATCCTGTTGCCCCCACCCTGCTTATATGGCTTAGTTAAAAGCGTTGACAGCACTAGGTGCCCAGGGGGTCATCCCAGAATAAGTTGGTTTTATATGGCTCTGCAGGCCCCAGGAAGAGAAATAAATAAAAGATAATTATGGTTATCAAGACTAAAAGACTTTCCAAGTAGGACCAACGAAAGAAGGTCACAGAGTCCTGTGCGGTACAGCTTGCAGAGAAGGCCGAGGGGGCAGGCAGTGCTAATTTGCCGGGATGAGAAAAGTAAGAATTACTTGGAACATATTAATATTGCTTTCCTCATTTTCACTGACAACAGAATGAAGAAGCTGGCTTGAGAGATGGCAGAGAAGGCGTGGGGTTAGAGAAGAGGGGCATTGTGGCTGGCAGCGTAGGGGCCCGGCATGGTGCGTAAGGTGAGGGAGAAGGTGACCCCTCGGGGCTCACGCTAGCGAGAAGTGTGTGGGTGGTTGGGGGAAGACAAGCTAGGGTCCCGCTGACCTGTGCAGGTTCCTTCCAGCTCATTTCTGGCACATGTGAGAGATCACGTCTTAGATCAGGTCCAGCAATCCTGGGCGAGGGTGGGGAAGGAGAAAGGATTACCCCATGGAAAGGACTGGAATCTGAGCACCAGAGGAGCTCGGGGTTTCACCCTACCTCCAGGGCGATGCCTTTTGTTTCAGATGTAGCTAATAAACTTCCTGCTTACAGAATTGACTCCCTGTTCACCCCCGCTCTCTTCCTGGGGCTGCGAGACAGCTGGCTGATGGATTGCCGGTGAGCCAGAGGTTCTGTGGAATGCTGAGCAGATGCACTTCCAGCGTCGTCGCACACTCTGTTGCTCTCTTTCCTCTTTTGAAGAGCCCGTTCATATTTAATTCAGCTCTTCCAAATGCTTCCGTGTCACCCTGTCTCCTCCCTTTGTAATGATCGCAGTCTCCCTTAATGCATGTACCTGCCAAATGAAGCTTCATGGCCTGGCAGCTAGAGGATCGCCGTGAGATTGAGCCAAGTGCTCTTGCCAGTTACATTACGGGCTTCCACCCCTGCCAGCTCCTTTCTATTGTTCAGATGGGCACATACTTTTCTTCCCATCACGCCCCGTGCTCACCGCCTTTGGCTGTCAGTCACTCCCACACATGAGACTTTGGGCAGATACCCCTTGGGTACCTGGGAGGGAGGTGGTCGACTGAGATATAATGAACTCCCTTGGGAGTCCTCATTTGGAGACGTAGATTATTAGGGTGTAAGAGGACACTTGCTTCAACTCTTCCAGTTAGCCGTGGCCTGGGGCCGTTGCACACCGGCAGAAGGCCGGAGGGAATCACCCGCCGTCAGCCACTCTGCTCTTCGTCCCGACACTGGTCTCTGTGCTCCCCTCCGTGGAAGGTCCCATCAGCCCAGGACTGCAGTTCCATGTTAGTTTCTGACCTGCTCACGCCATCCTGTCCTGCTCTTTCAGTCATAAACTGTCGCGCCCGCCTCGCCAGCAAGGAAGACGCGGCAACTGGAGTTCTTCTGACAGTGCTTTAATGGGGTTCCCTTTAGACTTACATGATGCGGAAGACCCAGCCCGGCAGCGCGCAGGCTGCTATATACCCTAGAAGCACAACCCCTAAGCTGGGATAGGCCGCTCAGCTGTCGAGCCGCCAAAGCATTGGTCCATAGTAGGATCCTTCATTTGCATGCTTGCGCCACAGGGCAACCGACAATTGCGCGTGCGCTGAACTTGTTTACTGCTCTAGGCAAAGCCGGAAACAGGCGCCATCTTGTAATGGCGTTGACACCGCTCCCCACAATAAACACTCTTGGGGACCTAATGCCTTGAAGCCACTGGCAGCTTGCCTCATCACGAATCCGTTGCCAGCCAGCAGGGAGCAGGAATGGGGCGAGGACTGGGGGCCTGGGTGCAGGTCACTCGGGGGTCAGCCAGCATCCCCGCAGACCTCGAGGACCAACGCGTGCGTCCTCAGAAACGTACAGATGCAGCAGTGCTGGGGCACCGGGGCGGGAGGGACCTCCAGCCGGGAAGACCTCTGGGAGTCAGTGACCCACCCCTGCACCCTGGCAGGGGGCAGCATGGCAGAGGAGCGGGGCCTGGGGAGGGCAGGGAAGACTGGGGTGAACCTGGCCCTGCCGTTCCTCCCTGAGTGGCCTCCGTGAGTCGGTGGACCTCTCTCTCCCCCTCCCCTCCCCTCCCCACTTCTCTCCTTCCTGAGGAATGCTCTCCATGCCAGGCACTGTGTCATGAGCTTTACATTCATTATCTCGTTTTCCTTTACGACTCCAGACTCCAGACTCCACACCGTGGGGTGTCATCCTGCAGGTACTTGGTCCTGTCAAGTCTGGTCCTTCACAGATGTCGAGCGTGCTGGCTTCGGAACGGAGTCCGTCCTGGGTTTGACTCCTGGCTGTGTCATCGTTAGCCATGTGACTTTGGGGCAGGCAACTGAATCTCAGACTCCATCTGTAAAATTGGGATAATAATGCCTACCTCAAAGGGGTGCCATAAAAATTAAATGTCAATTGTAGATAGATATTTATATATTTATTTGTTGCAAATTGCCTGGCACATTCATGGGCTCCCCGTCAGTGGCAGCTGCTGTACCATGCAGAGGAGAGGATGGTGGAGGAGGCTGGCAGAAGCCTGGACTTTGGAGGACTGGGCTGAACTCCAGAGGGTTTTGGCAGAAGGCTCTGCAGTCCCAGGTCAGCCCCCCGAGTGTCAGGGGTTAACCGGTGCAGTCTGGCTTGTTTCAGAGGCTTCACAAGGAGCTGCCGCTCAGCCTGGAAGATCTTGAGGACGTGTTTGATGCCCTGGATGCTGATGGGAACGGCTTTCTGACCCCAGAGGAGTTCGCTACTGGATTTAGTAAGTTCTGATAGATGCTGGGCACCCAGAGCTGCGTCTGCCTAAAGCTGTATAGTATGCCTTCCTGTCCCCTCTGGATCTGGTAGTACAAGCTTTCCTCCCTCCTTTCAAGGACCCAGACTTGGGGTCTCCAGGCTCTGGATCACTTGGGCCGATTCACATGCCCTGCCCGCCTGCCCTTGCAGTGCCCCTGCACTGTCGCTGCCTGGTGCCCTCCACTGAGACCAGCACAGGGAATAGATGGGAGCTCTGGCAGAGGCTTGGCAAAAAAGGAGCTGCATGAGATTTCCAGCCCCTCCTTTTCTGCCTTGCTAGACAAAATGAGCAGACAAAAGGTGGGATAACGGGGTGGCTCATTCCAACCTGAGTCTGGCTGCATCTTCCAGGCTGCAGGATACCAGCCATCAGAGGAACTCTAGAGGGTTGAATCAGTCGGTCATTCTGAAGGTAACCAGGAGAAAGGAGAAATGAGATCCTGGAGCAAGATGAGGGAACCAGACACACTGTCAGATCAGATAAATCAGCAGATAAATATCACCATACATCTGCTCCATGAAAAGGGCCATATAGTTTTCTCAGAAGTATCTGATGCCTTTTCTGACCTTCAGGGACCTATAATTGACTTGGGAGGATAAGACGGATTGCTGCATTACTAGGCAGTATGAGTACGGAGAAAGTACACTGGAGACTTAAGGAACTTGTTAGCCTGCAGTCCTGTGAGGCTAGCGGGGGGGACAAGGATGGCAACATGGAGCCTTGGCGCCGGGCCGCTGGGGCGTGATGGAGGGAAACCAGCAGAGAGGTGTGATCTAAGCCAGACTTCGAAGGGTGGAGGACCACAAAGGAGCCACCATACCTGTCGTGCCTTCTGCCTTTCCCAGGTTCTCTCTGGCAGGTCGCTGTGGAAGTGGAAAAAACACAAACCCAGGCCGTGGTGTCGATGGGCCTTTGCTAGAGGGGTTTCCCTTGTTCTCTCAGGGGCCCCCACATGCCCCCAGGCAACTGAGAGAGCTGAGCACATCCTGGGTGAGCACTGTCTAATCCAGACCCTGTGTCCCGCCCCCGCCAGGTCACTTCCTCTTCAGCCAGAATAACCCAGGCCAGGAAGACGCAGGCGAGCCGGTGGCCCGGCGCCAAGGAGAGCAGGTGTACCAGTCCAGAGGGGAGGAGGACCTGGGAGACATGGACGGAGACGAGGAAGCCCAGTTCCAGATGCTCATGGACAGACTGGGAGCCCAGAAGGTTTTGGAAGAGTGAGTGGTGGCAGGGATCTGGGGATGGAGCCCAGCCTAGGAGGAGCTCCTCAGGTGCCGTTCAGCAGCTGGCATCTTCTCAGCACTCAGCGCCAGCCCCGCGCTTGGCGTGGCCAGCCGGGACCCGGTTCACACAGCCTGCCCTTCGCGATGGCCTGCGTCTGTGTTGGGCTGTCTCTGCCTTTCACATCTTTTCCTTTGTGATGCATTCCTATTCTCCTCTCCTGTTCCCTCTGCTCTCCTCACTCCTGCTGCGTGTTACCCTCACAGTCCTCGGCTCAGCTTTGCTCGCCAGGGGTGTCCCCGTTGGGGTCTGCACCACACCTCAGGGTTGTCGGGGAGTTCTCCCCAAGTCACCCTGTCGCCATAAGCCCTCCAGCGTCTTCACCCCAGTGCGGCTGGGTCCCTAGGGCCGCAGTGCAGCCCAGCGGCCCACCGTGTGTGCGCTCCCGCAGAGCGCCCTCGTGAGGAAGCACTTGCACATTGCATCCCTGAGCAAACCAACCTGTCAGGAAGACAAGGTGGGAAAGTAACCAGGTTTTCCTGCCCACCACTTGAACAATCAGTGGCTCCGGTGAAATTTTAAATGGTTGGAACGTCAAACAGAACATAATACCACAATTTTTTCCCCAAAAAGTGCTTTGGAATAAAGAAACATATGGATCTAAGCCCTGACATTTACAGTAAGGTAAAGCAAAATAAAACAAAACAAAATAAAATAAAATAATGATATTATAGCTAGTAGAAACCAACAATGGGCCTGAAAAACACATACTGCCTCTGCCCCTTTTCCCATCGCCTGTGGCCTTTTCAGCTTGGGGTCTGTAGGCCTGGGGCTGGGTGTGCATTTCTCGCAGGGCTGGGGAAGAGAAGGGGCTGTGGTGGAACATGATATGCAGGCCAAAGCTCTGGGAATGTTCTAGCAAACAATCGGGCAGACTGTGACAGAGCGGGGGGAGGCTGGCGAAGTGCGTGCCAGGCAGGAAGGGGACAGGCAAAGACCTGGGAGAGGGCCTGGAGGGAAGCTCTGCACAGGACATGAAACCTGAGACCAGCTCTGCTGCCAGTGCGGAAGGTGCCCACGCAGGCGTGGGTCAGCGTGGAGGTGGCGGAGAGGGGGCACAGGTGGATGGGAAGCTCATTACCAGACACCTGACTCAGCTTCTCCAAGGACAAAAGCCCAGAGCGCAGTGACCTCTGCAGTGACCGAGTGCAGCCTGCTCCTGGGGGAGGGGGAGGACAGGCCACTGTGACGAAAGAAAGTGGCCTCTCCACCCCCCGATGGCCGCACGGCCACTTCCTGGCAGGACTCTCAAATCAGAGCTCACCAAACATTACTCTGAGAACCTGTGTCAAAGGCCTGCGCAGAACTGAGCCAAAATGAGGAACGCTAGAGTAGAGAGGGCTTTGGGGAGGATTCCAGAATGGTCGATAAACATTGATACATGGAAGATGGTGTGACCAGCAGTTTCCATCCTCACTGGAGTGGCGTAAGTTGCAGCACGAGGGAGACCTTCCTGACTGGGGGCCCTAGATGAGGGGACAGAGGAGGCTGTGGAGACTTTAGAGGTCTTTAAAGGTTTTGCTCACCTGAATGGTTTGTGTGTTGTTCTAGGAGGAGAGAGATGGATACACTGACCCCCAGAATCTCTTCTAGCTCACACTCCCATGTCCTTCCACGAGGGGTGGCCTCAGTGGTCCAGGAGTGGTAGACTGGGCACCTGGACACCCTGCTTCTCTTGGGGATCTGATTGGCTAAGAGACCTGGCAGCTTATTGGGCTCTGGCTTATTTTTCATAAGGGACAAGGGACAAGTTGGAAGTTTAGTCCCTTCTCCAGAAATCTGGGGTGAAGTGATGTGGCCAAGACTGAGTAGTTCAAGAGCACTGGAGGAGGACCAGGCAGGCCTGCAGGTCTCACTGGGGGCTTTCGCCCACTTGGCTCCCCTGCCCAGCTCCCACAGGAAGCTGGCAAACATGGACGGACAGACCTAGGCTAGCAAGGTGGACCTAGATTTTATAATGCATTTACCTCGTAAAGGAGTATGTTAGCCCGTTTGGGTTGCTATAACTACCATAGACTGGGTTCCTTGTAAATAACAGAAATTTATTTATCTCAGTTCTTGAGGCTGGGAAGTCCAAGATCAAGGCATCAGCATGTTTGGTGTCTGGTGAGGTCACTTTTCCTGGTTCACAGACAGTCATCTTACCATGTCCTCATAGGGCAGAAAGGGTGAATGAGCTTCCTCGGGCCTCTTTTTATAAGGGCATTAATACCATTCACGAGCATTCTGCCTTCTTGATCTAATCGCCTCTCAAAGGCCCCACCTCCCGATACCGTCCCTGGGGGCTAGGGTTTCAGTAGATGAATTTGGGCGAAGGAGGTGGGAACAAACATCAGACTGTAGCAGGGAATGACCTTAGCCGTGATGGGAAGTCACGGCACTTCCAGAACCCTTTGTGGTCTACACGGTGAGCGACACTCGCACCGTGTTCTGTGGGGAGAAAGGAATTCGTTCTGGGAAACTGGCTCCTCACCTCCCCTTTCCCTATCTCCCTCATCCCCTCACATCCTTCAGGCCAGTGCTGGGCTTCTAAGAGATTGTAATAAATACCTGTTGTGTGGATTGGGGAATGGTGGACAAGTGGATGGATGGATGGATGGTCCAGATGAGAAGGTGGATGTTCAGATGGGATGGAAGAAAGAAAGGGTGGAAGAAATGGAACAAAAAAAGGAAGGAGGGAAGGAGGGAGGAAGAGAGGGTGGGTTGGAGAGATGACCAGGTAACCTAATCACAGGTAGGTCCACTTCCCAGTGGGCCTCTGCTGGGTACAGAGACTAATGTCCATGCCCCAAGAGCATTGACATGCTGTATCAAATGGCACTATCAAACGTCACTTCTGAGGAAAGTTTCTCAAATACAGTGCTTGTTATGTAAGCACAAAGAATTTTATCCTTTATCTTGACAGTTCCTGGTCATAGCTACCCTCAGATCATCTGGTTTCAGAATTTAATGGAGGAAAAATCAGACTTATGGGTTTTTTAAAAGTGATTTATTAAGGAGGTGCTCCCAGGAGAAACTGGTAAGGGATTTGGGGAAGCAGGACAGGGAAAGGAAGTAAAGCAAATAAGGTTGCAGTGTGAGGAAAAGTCCTGTTTCTCCAGTGGATATTATTCCTACAGTCATAGTAGTATAAATGTTTATTTATTGTAATATTTTAGAATCAGTATGCAGAATTTTTGAAACTTAGCACTAATTACAGAGCACACTCCTAAATGTATTGAAATTTTAAAAATTTAATTAAAAGAAATTTTAAAATAATGTTGGCAGGGATGCAGTGAAAACAGAATGTTTACACACTGCTTGTGGGAATGTGATCCAGTACAGCCTCTATGGAAAACAGAATGGAGATTCCTCAGAGAATTGAAAGTAGACCTACCATTCAATCCGGCAGTCCCACTACCGAGTATCTACCCAAAGGAAGTCATTTTGTAGAAAAGATAACTGCACCCAGATGTTTATCACAACATAATTCACAGTTGCAAAGATATGGAATCAACCTAAGAGTCCATCAACTGATGAGTGGATAAAGGAAATGTGGTGCATATATGGCATGGAGTACTACTCAGCCATACAAAAGGAATGAAATAATGTCTGTTGCAGCAAGTTGGATGGAACTGGAGTTCATTATGCTAAGTTAAGTAGCTCAGAAATGGGAAAACAAGTACCACATATTCTCACTTATAAGAGGGAGTTAAACGAGGTACATATGGTCATAAAGTGGTGTAATGGACATTGGGAACTAAGAATGGGGAGGAGGGGAGGAGGAATATGGGATAAAAATCTACCTACTGCTACAAGGTACACTATCCTGGTGACAGAAACACTAAAAGCCTTGACTTAGCAGGATATAGTCACACCCATGTAACAAAAACCAGTTGTACCCCCTAAATCTATTGAAATAAAAAATAATTACAGAGCACAGTGTCAAAGTTCAGGTAACTGAAATGGGGAAGCAAACTTTGGAGTTTACAGAGCAATGTAGGCATCCAGTATCTTTACCCTTATAAAATGGGGGTCATAAGATATTTTCCATAACTAAATTAAATTAATTAAATGGGAAATGTACATTACATAAATTTTTGAAGTTTAACAAAATTGAAAACCAAAATGTAATTGTATTGAAAGGATGGAAGGAGGGGAACGGTTTACATTATCAATAGCTAGAAACTTGAAAGATTAAGAAACTAAATTTTTAAGTAACACAACACTGAGAAGACAGTGAACTGAGCTAGCTATTACATCTTGTTACATAAATATGAATAACGTGTTAGAAAATATGTCTATGGCCATTTATTAAATAAATCAAAAGTCTAGTTGTTTTGGGGAGTACGATTTGTATTTATTCTCTACATTGCTAGAGTAAAGTTGAGCTGGTTATTTGTAACAAAGTGGCCTGTGAGATTTCACTTTAACTCTACTAGTTTATTGGTATATAACTTCCACAACATTCTCATAGCCTGTTAGCTTGAGAAGTTAATTTCCATTCTATATTTGCAATTATTGAATTGTCATTGAATTAAAACCTATTCTCTCTCAGATTTACGTTTGGCTCAGTCTGCTCATCGGCTGTAGATTTGTTAGCTTCTCCAGAAGGGAGAGCAGGGTCCACAGTGTGTGGCTCCCGTCCTCCCCTCGGGTCAGCGCGGGCCGTGAGTCTGCTGCTGTGCTGTGCGCACAGCGCCCAGTGTGCCGTCTCTGTGGGTGTCTCTGAGCATGTCACTCTGCGTCACTGCTCTCCGCCCGCCTCCACGTCTCCCGACTCTACTTGTCTTCTGTGTGCACCCACATCTTCCAGACTGGCTCCTTCCCTCCCCTTTGCCTGGCAGTCACCCCCATCCGCCGGGCCCCAGGGGTGCCGCATATCCTCTTCCCTTCCCCCAGTGACGGTTGCTTTCTGCCATCCATCAGATGACGTGTCTTTACCTCTCAGCGGTGAGGACCAGCCTTCCTGGGGACGACAAGCTCTCTCCTTTCTCTCCGTAGCATTTGTCCTCACGCACGCTGGGCCCCGTCTGCCCCTCCTCCCCTGGCATTCCGAGATGTGCCGTCACGGCGCTGTGCATGCTCCGCCCGGCACCTCTAGCGCGTCTTGAAAGCCACGGGAGGATGGAAGCACAGAGCAAGGTGACCGACAAGGAGCCAGACAGCCCTGAGCTGGACCCCTCCCTCCACCTTTCCTGCTGAATGATGTAGACGCTCATGGCACCTCTCCACGGGTTCCTCTCCGGTACCTGCGGGTGACCGTGGCACCTGCCTCAGAGGTTACCTGCGCATGGAGGAGCCGATGCTCGTGACGCACCTAGCACGCCGAAGCACTTGCTTCTTGTTAGCTGCTGCCGTCTTTACAATGGTCCCAGTGCGCTGTTTCGGGCTGTCGGTTTCCTATCTGGGAAGCTCTGTGTGTCCCATTAAGCCTCATTTCCACACCCCCACGTTAATGTCCCCTCTCTTGCAGTGAAAGTGACGTCAAGCAGCTCTGGCTGCAGCTGAAGAAAGACAAACCTCACTTGCTGTCCAACTTTGAAGATTTCCTGACTGCAATCTTCTCCCAGCTCCAAGAAGCCCACGAGGAGAGGAATGAATTGGAGTGCGCCCTAAAAAAGTGGGTACCCAGTGTCAGCCACTGTCTGTACCTCTGTGTGAATAATGGAACCACAAAGTGTGCTTCCCCTGCGCCTTCTGCCCAGCTCTCTGTGGCAGCTCCTTCCCGCATTTTGCCACGCAAGGGGTGGGGGGTGGGGGGGCAGGCTGTCGGCATGTTTCTGTTGGTAAGCCCTCACTCCCCTGCACGCAGGGTCACCATAGGCTAGGCACTACTGTAAGCACTTTATATACGCTAGCTCGTTGCGTGCCCACCACACTCCTCTGGGGTAAGGACTGTTGATCATTGTGCACACTTTGCAGATGAGGGACTTGAGACATGGAAGGGCCAAGTGGCATGACCCGGAAGCCACAGCTTGTAAGCAGCAGAGCCAGGACTCAGAGCAAGACAGCCTGTGCCCAAGCTGGAAGGAAAGCCACTCTGCCTGCCTCTGGGCAGTGAGACCTCAGCACAGTGGGCCTCCCCAGCTTCGATCAGCCCCCTGGTGGAGGTGGTGTTTCTGCAGGGTGGTTCGTAGCTCCCTGAATCTCCCCTCCTGACCGCTGTCCCCCAGCATGGCCTCAAGTCTCTTCTGCTGCCTGCTCTGCCTCCAAGGCCTCTGCAGGAGACAGGACCAGACAGGTAGACAGCAGCACGTGAGGAAACTGCTGAAGACCTGAACCCCAAGTCAGCTCAGAAAGGTGTACCACAAAACTGGGGCGAGCCCAGTAGACGCCGATCTCTTCATGAGAATTAGCATGTGATTGCGGGCACTGTGCTGTTCATAGTCCTTTAACATGCAGTTACAGCAGTGAGCTTGCGCTTTATGAACATGGAGTTGGAGGGGGCATAACTGGGGATGGCTCATAACCCTGAAGGTGAGGCCGAAACACAGGGCGGGGTTGGGTGGAGCTTGGAAGCCACCAAGGGGCCCTCCGCTGCACCTTGCCAGCACTCTTGTCTGTGCCTAGAGATTTGCTCATATTCTGTAGGAATCCTCAACAATTCCATGGCTACTGATTCCGCAGACCACCTGCCCCTCCGTTCAGGTGCTTCCAGCAAAGCTTGGTGGGCCAGCACTGCCTCCCAGATGGCGATGTTTCAGGGTCGGTGCTGAAGTGGTCCCAGAGAAGCACATAGCCCTAACTGAAAAAGAAGGGATCACCATGCGTCTTGCCGTACAGATCATCTACCTGCACATCACTCTGAGCCCCAGCACCTCGCCATCTTGTGCTCCCCAACATCAATTCTAAAAATAGCTTGTCAGCGTCCATTGGTTATATACAGGTCTGGAAAGAGAGGCCCTTTAGGACTCTGCGTTATGAAGGAGTTGAGGCCAGGTATTGCTGGAGCAAACATGGTTTAGCTGGAGGATTGCTCAGAACACCTGGATCTGGGGCGAGGCTCCCAAGGCTCAGAGAAGGGAAGGCTTGACAGGTAGGTAAAGGCTACTGCTAGGTAGCCTTTAGCTGATTAGGCCATGGAATCAGACCGAACTGAGTTTGAGTCTTGATCCTGCCACTTACTAGCTGTGCAACTAAGGCCATGTTACTTAACCTGAATCTCAGCTTCCCCACCTGTGAGACACAGGGTTGGAACAGCTATCTCGAGCTGCAGAGATTAAATGTGATAATGCATGCAAGTACTTGGAACAGTGCTGGCACACAAGCATTGAAAGAATGTCATAATAATAATTATCCTTTTAAATAAGTATCTTTGTCAGTCTTAGAGGCTTTGTCAGCTGAAGTGGAGAGTCTGAGCCTTGATGTCATCAGAGGCGAAGTTTAAGTAACCCTTTGTCCTTGCAGACCATGTGGTATACAGGCTCGCTTCTCAAAGTGTAGTCCGTGGCCCGGCAGCATCAGCATTGCTGGAAACATCTTAGGAATGCAGAATCTCAGGCCTTGCCCCTGCCCCACCGAATCTGCATTGTGACCAGATGTCCAGGTGCTTAATGTGTAGTTTGAGAAGTGGGGGGCTGGGAATCGGGAGATCTGGGTTTGAGTCAGGTGTGGCTTTGCAACTACCTAGCTCTGTGACCTTGCTCAAGTCTCTTGGCCTCTCTGAGCCTGTTTTTCCATCTGTAAAGTGAAGGGGCTGGATTAGTTTCTGACCCCACTTCACCTCCATTCCCCTCTTACCCCAGCATTAATCACCTGGCGGAGCCACAGCAAAAGTCAGGGGGCCCCTCTCAGAGAGAAAGGTACTCTTCTGTTCTCCAAGGAGGATAACTGCAGCCTCCATGGGCAGGCCATTACCCACCCGTGGCCTGGGCTGGCCTGCAGCCCTGCGGGGAGAGACACGTGCCTCTGAGCCCTGTCATTCATCGCTAAGTGACCTCTGTTAGTGCTTTGCCCTAATTCAGTGATTGCATTAAAAGTTGCTTAGAAGAAAGTCAAGGCCACTCTTGGCTGCATGTGCAAAACTAGCTCAGCCAGAACTTCCAGCTCTTCATGCCCATGCTCAGTCAGTATCCCTGCCAGACGCGCCTGCCCTGGTCAGCTGACCAAGGGCCACTGGCGAGAGAGCTCTGGTGGGATTGGGCCTCACCGAGTTCTCTGGCCTGTCCCATTTCAGGGGTATTCTTTGGACACAGAACCAGAGAACTGCAGGCTGTAGTGAGCAGAATGCTGAAAGAGGAGACAGCAATAACTGGAGCTCTTATCTAGGCACCACTGCTTACCAGCTGTGTGACCTCAGGCAACTTGCCTTACCTCTCTGAGCATCAGTTTCCTTATTGGCAACATGAAAGAATGGGAGTGTTTTTCAAACTTTTGTGATTGCAACTTGCCAAAAGAAATGCCTTTTACTTTGCAATCCCCATATACTTAAACTTTTGATTCAGTGTATAACTGAATCAAAAGCTTCATGAAATGATGTTCACCCTTATTACATATGACATTCTCTGATATTTTCTACTAGTGTCTCTTTTATTCTCTTCTCAAGGTTGTTCACGCCTTGCTGGTGGACCTATCTATAAGGTCTCTTGCAGCTCAGAAGTCAAACAAGAAAATGGAACTCTCAGTAGGGTATGGAATGTTTAAATAGGATTCTTTGTAAATGGCTCAGGGTGAGGTTAAGTGATTCTGAGACATCATCTAGAAAGTGGGTTTGGAGGTCAGAGCTTTGTAGGGGAGGGGTGCATATCCTGGCTTTGGAGAGGAGAGTGGGAAGGAGCTCTTGGGGATGGCCTGACGTAGGACGGAGTCTGGAGGGATCCCGAGGAGAACAGCAAGTACTGGTGAGCTGTCAGAATAGCTCTAAGGCCCCTCCACGGCTCACTTTTTAGTATGGTGGACAACATGCCAACTCCATCTGGGACATGAGCGCCCGTCCCTGAAGCTGGAGATGGGAGCTCAGGCCCTAACTGCTGCACTCCGGCCCTGGGCCAGGCAACAGGGAAGACAGTCCACGCGTACCCATCCCTAGCATACAATGCGTGCATCCTCTGTGCCAGGCTCTGAGTTAAAAAAATAGAGCACAGAGTCCCTCTCCTTGAGGAGTTCATGATCACATTGATGAGGCAGAGCTTCTACCTATGGAAATTCTTCACAGGGTACACCAGAAAATTCCCATGCTGTTCAAATGTTAGACCGTGTTGCCATTGGCAGTGGCGGCCTCTGCTTCTTCCTCCTTTTGCAAACCACACGCCTTGTTTCTTTCTCCCACAAGGCCCAGAGAAAATGAGACTGACCTCTGGGGGAGTCTGGCCCTAACCAGGTTGGGCAGGACGCACTCCCTGCCTGCAGCGTCCCAGGCTGGGCCATGCCCCTTAGGGTGACAGCGTTGCTGTGCTGGGTGCCAAAGGTCCCCCCAGCTTCCTCCTCACATTCACCCCAGGTCCAGGGAGGGTACAGCTGAGGTGGCTGAGTGCTGGGAAGCTCTTTTTAGCTGATGTCAGGAGACGTCAGTGTGACCTGGGGCATTGTCAGAAATAACTCCGAGCCTACCTTACCTCATAGTCACGTGCATTTTTGGACATAGGGGAAGGAAACAAGTCTGGGTCTATTCAATTTCCTGCCTCCTTGTCCTTTTGCTCAGAGGTTGAGGAAATCTCCCATCTGGGTCAGATCCTGGGAACAGTGTTTGACTCTGATGCGTGTCCACAGTGGCCACCGCCCCACGGGCCAAGGTCAGGACAAAGTCAAATGCAGGCACCTCGGCCACAGCCCACTTCCTAGGTTGAACTTCCAGAGTAAGGTATGTTCCCTCTGTGCCTCCACTTCTCTCTGAGCAGGGGGTGTGGGGGGACGGTTTAGATTGCAACAGAGCAGCCCTCCCTGCATTCCCAGTGCAGACATTCAGAGAACTTTATGTTTTAGCATAAGAGATATAGTTTAGACATCAGGAAGAACTTTTGGCCACTAGAACTGGGAATTTCTGCCACGGAAAGCATCCTCTACATGTACCTCTTTCTAGAAGGAAAAGCTTGATATCTCTGGGGGACACAGAACGATGCTGTCTGGAGGGAGCAATAGATCCAGACCTTTTGCAAGAATCACTTGGGGATGCACGGGGATCCCACTCCGGGGTCGACCTACTCACTTGGCCTGGGGTGGGGCTTGAAGCTTGCATTTGTAAAGTTTGATGGGTCAGGATAAATAAGGCAGCCTCTGGGGAGTGCCTTGAGCCCTTTGAAGGAAGAGCTTTCTAGATCAAAGGCCCGCCAATGGGCTGTGCTCTGGGAGCAGGGCAGGTGCACCTCCGCAGTTCAGCAACCGGGGACGCCTCCCTGGCTGCCTGTTTGGCATCACTGGTCGACCACTGGACTGGCCTTGACAAGCTTAGCAACACTCCCCACACCCTCCTTGGAATCAGTTCCTCATCTGCACAGTCTTACCTTGTCAGTCTAAATCAGGCTTCAGGCAGTTTCTTGGGAGCTGCGGTGGGGGTGGGGGCGAGCCTTACATTGCAGCCCAGATGCAGCGCTATCCAGGCACTTCCTGTCAAGAGCGATTTCCCTGGGCTCTGGGAGGGTGTCCAAAGCAGGAAGGAATGTGTCTTTCAGTCCCAAATAGGAT